GGTGATCGGTGGATCAGTTGGACGCCCCTGCATGTGAATCACAGGTGCAGTTGGACGAAACCCTTTGTCCAGGGGTGGACACACACACACATACGCAGACTCATATACACACGGACATAGATACACACACAGAAGCCCACACACTACCTCAACTCACTCGACTTAACACTTCACACTGCACACGTAACAGATAACTCGCACTCTGACTTCCTACGTGATGAAAAATGCTTTCGGGCCACTCGTCGTCTAGTTTTCCCTGATTTGCACTCAGGTGGTGCCTTTGCTGCGATCTTGACAGATGGAACAGTTGTTACGTGGGGACCTGCAAGTTATGGAGGTGATTGTAGTGTGGTTCAACATCGCTTGAACTCGGTGAAGCAGATTCAGGCGACCACGGATGCCTTTGCCGCCGTTGTCGGCGATGGTTCGGTGGTCACGTGGGGTTCTCAACAGGCAGGAAGCGACAGTACTGGGGTGCAAGATCAGCTGCGTGATGTGCAGAGTCTTGCATCCACCAATGATGCCTTTGCAGCCCTTCTGGGTGATGGATCGGGGGTCTCCTGGGGCAATCGGTGCTACGGAGGTGACAGTAGCAGTGTCCAAGATCGCTTGAAGAATGTGACGCGAATCAAAGGCTGTGGGTGAAAAAGAAGGCCACCTCATGTACGTACTATAGAAAGACGGGTCCTGGAAGACACTGGAAGAAGACATCTCACAGAGAACTGTATGACTGGCTTATTGGGTATCACCTCCCCCAAGCCAACTTCTCTCATGTAGCTCAGCCACTCAGTTTCAGGACCCTGTTCCATGATCTAGCCTGGGGTCTTTCGTGACAGGCTCGGGCGGAGCTTTCGCGGCCATTCTGGAGGATGGCTCGTGCGTCACTTGGGGTCATCCGGGCTATGGGGGGGACAGCAGCCGCGTGCAGCATCGTCTCAATGGAGCCAGTGCGGTGGTGGAGCTGGAGTCGGCGAACAACGCCTTCTGCGCCATCCTGGCGAATGGATCGGTGGTGACCTGGGGGTGTCAAGACCATGGAGGAGATAGCAGTGGGATTGAAGAGCAACTCCAACTGCTGTGATCGAAAGAAAAGGAAGCTGTGATCGTCGGTGCTGGATGCAGGAGGAAACCACATACAATGGTAAGCCTGGTAAGCTATATGGGGATGGGTCGTTCAACCTGGAGCCCTGGTCCACCATGTCTTGACCTGGGAATAAGAGGTCAACCAAGGTCTCCTGCTTTTGACCCACAGCCATATGGATGCGAGACTAGGCCACCATGGAACATCCCATGGTCGGGAGGCGAGTTCGCCGTACACGCCGCAGGCAGTGGCGGCGTTCTGGCCACGCGACGACAAGAGCTGCAGGCGCGGACGTTTGCGTCGAAGTGAATAAAAGAGGTCAGGTGGATCAAAACAGAAGTCATGTGGACTGGTCTAGAAACATGCATCATGAATTCAAGCCTCGCAACTCACTCGTACTTCTCGCTATTTCGGCTGTTTCGCCTGTCGCCCGAGGACCTGTCGCCCGAGGAGCTGGCGGCCGCCCGCGCGGCCGAGGTCCGCGAGAAGAAGGCTGTCGGGCCCTAGGAGGTGAAAGAGAGGGTCGAACTGGGAGGTGACACTCTATCTGGTCGGACTGAAAGGAGGGTCTGATTTTTTTTCAACACCCAGATGCTTTGTGTCAACACCCGATTGGTTGACATGATAGGTTGACATCCTGTTTTTGGGTCATTATAGGTCCACTTTTCTGTTCAGAAGACCATATTCCTCCACATGCCGGCAGCGTTCCATCAAACTGATCTCTGCATGGTGTCTTCATTGAGAGGCCCGCCCAAATTGGTACGGTGAAAAAAAAGTGAAAAGAAAAGAGATGCCGAGAGACAAGCACCGGGCCCAGCAGTTTTTCTGCACTTTCCCCTGCCTTTTGAGACGAAGCTGGCTGATGCTTTCAACATGTTGGCAACCAGCTAAGCTGTTCAACCAGCTAAGCCTTCTGAAGTCCAAGCAGCTAGCATTCATCCAGCCGTGCTGTCTTCAACCGGTGACCGCCCCCTTCCAGTGCAGACCCGCCAGGTGAGGATCTTGCCGCTGCACATGTTGGAGCGCAGCAATCGTCGTCAGATGAACGAACTCTTTAAACTCTTGAGGAAGAATGGCCAGGTGGTCGCCTGGTACCTGGAACCTTGGCGGTGGCCCGACGTCGGGTCGTCACGTCAAAGACGTGACGTGGCGTAAGGCCCCGAAAGGAAGACGACTGTCCGAACAGCGGGGGTTCTCCACTTCCATGTTGGTGAGTCGGAGTGTAGCAAATGAGACGGACATGGGATGGAGGTTCCTGGTAGACGTATGTCCTCGGCTTCCGAAACTGAAGCTTCGAAGGATCAGCCATGAGACAGAGATTCCGGAAAAAGCCTTTGAAAGAAGAACGTGGCACGAGCTAGTCAGAGCTAGTCTGAAAGTCTGAAGTTCTGAGGGGCTCGTCCGAAAGTTCAGCCGCCTAGACTTGGACCCTGAATTGAACTCCTGCCACCCTGAAGCTCAGAGGAACTCTTGAATTCTTCCAACGGATGGTAGTATATAAGTAGCAGTAACTCCCTGCTGGAAGGAAGGAGCTAAAGCCGTTCTTGAGAATGGGATCAATCACCCTCTATTAGTTGACCTGGTGGTCCCATTGTAGATAGATGCAGATTGATAGGTTAGGTTCATGTCTATCCAGGATGTCAGATGGAGACTCCCTCAGACAATCAAGGAAGCTGAACGTGACTCTCTTTGCACAGCCAAGAAGCCTTCCGGTACAATACGTCCTGGGTGACATGAACGTTCACCATCTTGGGGTTCACCGTTGTTTTGGTGCCCAATCATCTGGTCATGTTGCGGAAAACAACGCACGCACACACACACACACCACACGCACGCACACACACACACAACGACCCACACGGTTCAAACGATCCAAACATCGATCCACCCGACTTTTACTCCGACACGACGGTCCTGAACACGTCGCCGTGTCTGAGGAGTCCATCATCTTCCCGGAACACTTGCGCTTCCAAGAGGCCGTTCATCTGGCCGTGTGACCAGGTCGTGTTGTTCCTGGCTTTTTTTCTGCCGACTTGGATCTGAGTGTTTGGAGGATATGATTGGATTTGAGTAGCAAAATATCTAGGTGCACTGAGTGCTCGAAAGAATATCGTCTTCGATGTTCGAAAGGGTTGGAGGTTGGAGCCTCAAGTAGGGGGAAGAATCGCGGTTGACAGTAGGGTATGCCACCGTCGGTACGAGAGCTTCGTTCAAAGAGTCCAGCTACTCATTTGCTTCTCGTCGGTGACCAGAAATAGAAGAATCCAGTCTTTCTCGACACAGCCTGGGGGATGTTATTGAGAGACCCCACCAGCCCATTGGGTTTGGTTCTCAAATGTTCTTCTTCTTCAGGGTGAGTTAGAAATGTTGACTGGGTGACGCGGTAGATATTCACTTCTGAAGGCCAGTGGACAGCGATCACTCTTCGTTGCTCCTCTTTTGGGGATGATACACAAAAATGACTACCCGGCAAGACAAGTACATTCGGCCAAATATGGTCAGGTTTTTTTCTTTGTTTTTTTTTGAAACAGTTTGGATTTCACACAGGTTCTCGTTGCCATCGCACGTTCAATATTATGTCATGTATGTATAAAACGGTCATCGATACTTTTCTTTGGTCATGAGTCATATGTGTCTTTTCTTCCCCCAAGACAATGGTATGCAACAAGTTATCATTCAAGTAATTATGCAGGCACGTGTGTGACGATAGGAGGCACGTACTGTATATAAATATGAATGGTATATCACACATGATCTCAACTCTGGGCGACAAACCATCTCAGTGGTTCTCCCATCCACGGCCGCTGGCGGCACAGGCCTCCGGTCCGACAGGTGTCGTCGCCAGGTGAAGCTGATGTCCTCAGGTCAAGATTTGGGCGGCGCTCTGCTCTTCAAGGACCGGGCACGACGCGAAACGGGAGGCGAAGCGCAGGGTCCATGGGACGGGACGAGGGCGTTGTGTGTTGGAGCGAAGCAACGAGGGTATGGCAACCTGGAATCATTGGGCGGTGATTCAGGATGTGAGGATAGATTAATGGATGGCAACATCAGAACTTTGAGCGCTCTGAGTTTTTTGTTTTGTTTTGTTTCCACAAGCTTCTGACAAGATCTAATGAGGAACCGATACTTGAATGATGTTAATTAATATGTATACACAGTGTTTGGTCCATGTACATACAGTACATGATAAACATGTCTACTGCAATTGGTTGAACCTATCGTTGCAGAATGCATATCGGGCCGCAGCCAGCACATGAAGTTCCATCCAATTGCCCTTCCGGAGTTCCCACAAAAGACGTGCTTCCTATTTGGAACCCTTTGACTGGATGCTTCAAACCGCAACCGCTTCACATTCCGCGCTTCACACCACGCTGCGCGCGGGCAGTCACGCGGGCGCGGGCGCGGCGCGTGACGTTGAATCTCGTCGGCGTCAGGAGCGCATCGGCTTCAGTGGAACACCGAGTGATCTCATGCCCAGGCGAAATGTGTTCTACTGCACCGTTCAGACACTCAAAGCGCTTTGCCATGTGGGTGCCTTGTGGTGCGGCAGGGCTGGAATTTTTGGTGGTTTTGCCAATTCATTTGTTTTGCTTCGGCTTGTCTTCTGTTTTCTGTTTTCCTCAATCCATTTTCCCAACCACGACAGCTGCAAAGCCTTTTCCAAGAGTGGTGCAGTCTCGGAGCAGTGGTGAGATCGAGGATTGCCAACGCCTTTGTTCTGGTGGATTCAGGGCATTTACTGATTCACATGGGGGAAAGAACAGGGTACACCCGCGGGTCTGGGTGTCTGATAGGTGTTTCTGACACCCGAGATTGCAGACTGAGGGGGATTGATCCTGTGGATCCTGACCTCTGGTGTTTGACCCTCCAAACCCACCCTCACTCGGCACGGTCGAGCCCTCCATTCAGGAAGAACTCCATCCATCTGGTTTCACAGCTTCCATTCCTCCAAACGACTTCGACACGACGATGGGTCCGATGCCATGGCCATCCATGGCCCCGTCCAAAACGACTGGGGTCCAACGAGTCTCACGGTCAGCCTGTGATCTTGGGTCATACGCCACTGTCATCATCCCCTGTCACTGGTCAGTAATCGGATATGATCTATATATATATAACTAACCATCATAATGTTGTAATACATGGACATAC